CGTAGCCGTTATAGCAACGGCCCAGTTGCAACAATATTAACGAGAACCATCTTCAAGACTTCTATATAGATGTCTGCGAAACATGACTATTTTCGACTCGTCACGGAACAAACAAGATAAAAATGAATAAAACCGTTCTAAATAAGTTATTTCGGGATATCCTGTCCATGTTCCGGGGAAATTTCAAATGATCATTCTTTTTTAAATCTCCCAATAAAACAGTTGCTCTTCCTTAATAAACTCAACATAACTTTACAACAGATATGATTTTCTTGTCTCAAACGTTGAGAATATAGTAGGTACTTAAAATTGGATATACCCAATAAAATTGGAGATAAATTTAAAATTATATTAACCATGTGCGTACATATTGGTTATATTAGTAAACGTTAAAGAGATTTATATTAATATGTTGAAACAGTCGTATAATATTTCAATCGGACCGCGATCGACGACGGAAACATATTTTAGGAATTAAACAGCGCGTCGAAGTACTGATGAACCTTCTGGGCGTCGGATTTCTTTTTCAGTTTGGGATTTATGTGCGTTCTCACATGTCGACAACACACACACAGCACGCTCGGTTTTGAAAATAGACCGAACGCCGGCACTGTTCCTCCAACTGTTGGTGCGGTGCTCGCTAATGGACCGTAATTGTGTCCCGGGCCCAGCTCAATATGGAATGGCATGATGCTAAAACACACCGAACGGAAAACGCTATTAATGGCATATTTATACTCGCCACATCTTAAGTTACAACGCTTGTCATGTACCAAGTAATGGGCCGTGACTTTACAATGGGTGTTTTCCTGTTACAGCCGCCAAAAGCGTAAGAGGATAATTATGGTCGTTTTATTAACCCAACGGCAAAGAAAAAATTAGAGTTAGCGCAAATTGCTGCGTTTAATTATTAGTTGTTGGGATTTAAAAGTAGGCAATTTCATATTTAGCAATTATATAAAGCAGTTTTCTAAAATAAAGCCTAATACCGATATGCAGAACACAAAGAAGAGAAGAGATTTTAAACCGATCCATTTAGACAACCAAACATACATATTCAATACTATTCAAATCATTTTCTTTATTAGAATATAACTTTATCACAAACAATATGAGATAGTCTCAAACAGTTTTCATTAGATTCTTAATACTCTGATAAAATATTCTATATTGTTTGAATGATAAATTGTTAGTTTCATTGAAACAAATTTTGTGTCAATGTGAGGGGATGTTAACTCAATGAGAACTTGCTTGTAAATTAATATGGTGCTTTTGTACCGTTTTAATAACTCCTCTGCCGAGAGATATCATTGCCTTCTAGCGAGTAGTAGTTATCTCAATTACAGATATGCCATCTACTGTGGCGATTTGAGATTATTAAATGGACCGTGTTATGCATCACTTGACTAAGCGACAAATAAATAATGTTGAGAAAAACGGGAATTTTCATTTTCATGTCAGAGTGTTTCTGTAAGTCGTGGCATATATTTAATCACTAAAACTGGATACAAAATGATGACGATTCGTGTAAAAATTTGTTAAGAAAATAATCTAGAGTTTGATTTTTATGTATAGTATAATAAAATATAGTATAATAAAGTATGATTTTTTATATATTCGTCTTATTTGACGAAGTGTTACAAGTTTACAGGTTAAAGTTTAAGAACGCTCTTTTTTAACAAAAGAAATATTAAGAAACTTTTGAAAAATTGAAGAATCATCATGTGGCTTAAAAATCGACGATTTTTTTTAATCAATGTGAAATGACCCAAAAAACACGTTAAAAATAAAAAGAAAGTGCGGAAAAGTGACTAACACTACATTAACTCAGTTATAAAACTTCTATTATATCATAACTAACTTCAGGTTTAAAATGTCAACCTCAATTTTGACATATTTGTAATCTTCATTAAAAACCCTTTAAAATAAGTACAAACACGACATATTTATCTTCAACATTAATGAAGTTATGGTCAACTTCCGGTTAAAAATGTCAACGTCAATTTTGACATATTTGTAATCGCCGTGAAAAATCCTTTAAAATGAGTCCAAACATGATACGTTTAATTCCAATATTACTCGAGATATAAGTAACTTCCGGTTTGAAATGTCACTGTCATTTTGACATATTCTTAATTTTTATAAAATGTGTTAATATTTGTCACAAAAACAAAAATGATAAAAAAAAAATTAAGGTTGGTATTAATATTTAACACATGACACAACTGTCATGTGTTTTTTGAGATAAGTGCGTCATCTTTGGACTCATTTTAAAGGTTTTTTAATCAAGATAACAAATATGTCAAAATTGACGTTGACGTTTCAAACCGGAAGTGATTGTATTTCCATTAACATTGAAGGTAAATATGTCGAGTTTGGACTCATTTTAAAGGATTTTTTAGAAAGTTGACAAATATGCCAATATTAAAAGTTGAAAGTTCGAACTTTTTGATTTTTTGAGATAAATGCGTCAAGTTTGAACTCACTTTAAAGGTTATTTTATGAAGATTACGAATATAATAATAAAATTAAAGTTAACATTGACAACTGAAAGTTTTTTCACGAATGTTTCTAGTTCTCGTTCAAGTTTTAGTTCAATAAAAATATACAACATAGTAATATCTTATGCTAATTAGCTCTACCTACCACTGCCACTAGAACTAACACTAGACCGAGAACTAGAAAGAACTAGAACTAGTGTTAGTTCTAGTTTTAGTGCAATAAAAATATGCAAGTAGCGCTACCTCCCGCTGTCGTTTGTAAAATGGATAAGATGCATAACGATGAGAGATGTTAATCTATTTGTAGAGTCTCTGAAGATATCCAAGGGCCGAAGCTAGTTAGACTTAAATTGTATATAAAATAAAAGATATAAACTTTTAATTTTATACTAACATCTAGAAAACGACACTGGCGCGAAATTGTAGGTTCATCTATTTTTTCTATTGTAGAATTTCTTGGTGTATCTACGTGTCGTATCTAAGTCGGTTCTTAGACGTATGATGCAAATCGGACTTAAAATTGTATAACATGATTAGCTTTATCCTTTAAAACAAATAGTATTTTAGATCTTTCTGTATTCTGCATGTTTTCTAAGATAAGTTACACCTTTACCTACGAGACAGCATGAAAATCTCTAAAAATGAAAAATGTCGCTTAGTCAAGTGATGTATAACGCGGTCCAAATATTCGATACTGATCATGACTATTACAAACAAAAACGTTTTTATTCCTTTGCCTTCCACCACAAAAACACTTTTTTGGTACTATTGCTTGTAGTTTTTCATCGTGTTGCTCTTCGAAATAAAGTTCCCTCCTATATGTATATTGCTAAAAATCGTTAAAATGTTGTCTACTATAATTATGTGGATTTTCTATATTATTGGCATTTCTATATAGAATCTGGCTGCTTATATGTGCTGTTTTTTACTTTCTGGTTGAAAGTTATATTTAGCCATCAACCGTGTCCACACCACCTTTATTTGTAGTCTGAAAGAATATTATGCATAAAAGACATGAAGTACATTTCAGAGTAAATAACACCATTGTATTATTATGTCAATATCTTTTTGGAAACTAAACACAGAAGATCTTAGTTGCCTCTTTATATCTGACAACACTTTAATATTATCTTTTTCACAAATACCTGTTTTGCCATTACATGGTTGGTATACCAATTCACAGATTTCAATTTTTAGCCTTTCTATGGTTTCAGTAACTAGTGCATTACATCACCTAATTGGGTTGGGTTAGATTTTGAATAGAACTTCACGCTGTTTTCCATAATATATCTTCATATTGCTAACATGGAAAGACTACTTCTACTTTCAAAGTTCCATTCATCCATCCATTTTGGAACAAGAAATTAATGAAGCAAACACTCACTGATTTTAATTTATCAAAAATTTATCCTACACCTTCCGGTTCCAGCCTCTTCTATCCTCCCAGCTTGGTCTCAGGTTTCTCTCCAACATTACCCTCTGAATTTCGCTTAACCAGGTAACCTTTGGTCCTCCTTTCTGTCGGTTCCCACTGGACAGCAAGTTTTAGAATTCTTTGTTTTTGCTCTCGTATAAATGCAGCTTTTTCGAACAAAAGTTTGCTTCAAAAACTTCCATGTTTTGGCCATAAACGTAATAGTTAGTTGGTGATTGTGTCAAGTATTGTTTCGTCAAGATTTGATAAAATTTATCCAAAAGATCTGTACTTACTTGGTAATGTACAGGTGTCCAAATTTCGATGGGTTTGCAGGGTATCTCAGTTATTATGAAAGATAGAAAGTTGCGGCTTTCGCGAACCTGAGCTACTTTTTTGTGAAACTTACAATGGCGCAAACCAAATTTTCATAGCCCTCTTCGTTTTTGATATACAGGGAGTGTTTGAAATTTACGATTTTCAGACACCTCCTGTATCTCGGCTATCCGGAAACTTAGTAAAAAAGTAAAAACGGGTTCTAATAGATTTTTTCACGTGGAATCCAATGGTGCACGTAGAATTTTTCTAGTCATCACGGTTTTTGAGTTATAAACACAACTCAAATACTGAATACTCAACTTCTAAAATACTTAACTCTTAATAACTCAAAAACCGTGATGATTAGAAAAATTCTACGTGAAAAAATCTATTAGAACCCGTTTTTACGTTTCCGGATAACCGAGATACAGGAGGTGTCTGAAAATCGTAAATTTTGAAACACTCCCTGTATATCAAAAACGAAGAGGGCTATGAAAATTTGGTTTGCCCCATTGTAAGTTTCACAAAAAAAGTAGCTTAGGTTCGCGAAAGCCGCAACTTTCTATCTTTCATAATAACTGAGATACCCTGCAAACCCATCGAAATTTGGACACCCTGTACGTTAAATCGTGGATATAACCTATACGTTAATGTGTCAGTAAGCTAACCAGGATTTGTTGACTTACACTTAAGCATCGTTATTGGACAAACATTAAACAAACAATTAATCAAATAATATTTTTTTTAATTAATTCTTTTAATTACAGGTCTTGGATTATCACCTGAATACCTGAGTGCTCGAGGATTAACCGATCTCCACCCAGCCTCAACATTAGCAAGTACAGAATTTCCATTTAGTATAGATGGTAAGTACACAATCACTCAACAAAATCAATTAAATTAATGACATTTATTTCTAATTCTTAGGTTCTCGATTAAATAGTCCTCGACCCGGAAGCATACGGCAGTCGAGGAAACGAGCCCTATCATCATCCCCCTACTCCGATTCCTTCGACATAAACTCCATGATACGTTTTTCTCCAAATTCCCTAGCTTCTATTGTAAATGGCTCAAGATCATCGAGTGCCAGCGGCTCTTACGGCCACCTTTCTGCAGGTGCAATTAGTCCTGCGTTGAGCATGCACCCCGGTGTCCATTTGCAGCAGTTACAAGCGCATCTAATACGCAGCGCGGGGTCGCTGCTTCCTTTGGCACCGGGACCTGCACCACCTCATTCCATGTATTCGCTGAGTCATCATCCTCTTCATGTATCTTCACCGCACAATACTCCAAAGACTGATGTAAGTTTTATCTAGAAAATGTTGAAGTAACTTTATTCATATAAATGATGTGTTTTGTAGCAGATGCTAATAGATTCAAGAAAAAAGTCTGAAACTGGAACTGTGATTTCTTCCGACGTTGGCGATCATGGTGGTTCAACTAGGAAGCAGAGGATAAAAAAGGAGCCAAGTTTGAATCCGAGTACACCTTGTATAAATACAAACGAAGGACAAAATGATTTGGGGGATTTAAAGGATGAACCGGGGGATTTTATCGAGACTAATTGCCATTGGAGAGAGTGTGGAACTGAATTTCCCACTCAAGATGATTTAGTTAAAGTAATTAATTCATTTTGTTATAATCCACAAATTTTTAATTAATTTAATTTTTAGCACATCAACAATGACCATATCCACGCTAATAAAAAATCGTTTGTGTGTCGGTGGGAGGGTTGTTCAAGAGCTGAAAAACCTTTCAAAGCTCAGTATATGCTTGTTGTACATATGAGAAGGCATACTGGCGAAAAACCACATAAATGCACGGTAAGTTTATTTTCCATAAAAAATCGAAACAAAATCATTAAATTTTTTAATTTATAGTTTGAAGGTTGCATAAAAGCATATTCTCGACTTGAAAACTTAAAAACCCACCTTCGATCGCATACAGGCGAAAAACCTTACACATGCGAATTTCCCGGTTGTTCAAAGGCATTTAGTAACGCTTCAGATCGAGCGAAACATCAGAATCGGACTCACAGTAATGAGGTAAATTCATTTCTATTTTAATCATTTTTTACAATAATTATTATAAAAAATTCCTGCTTCAAAAATTGTGTAAGGAATACCATTGTAAGTAGTTCAATCAATAATTATTATATTACAAAAATGTATTGTTAAAAATTTTTAATTAATTTTGGTTTAATTTTTCAGAAACCTTATGTTTGTAAAGCACCAGGTTGTACAAAAAGATATACAGATCCAAGTTCGTTGCGAAAACATGTTAAAACAGTCCATGGTGCCGAATTTTACGCTAATAAGAAACACAAAGGAATTGATGGTGGCTCTGAAGATGGACCTGGCGGTTTGGATTCAAGTCCCAGAAGTGAAGATATGCAAAGTCACAAGACAGCAAGTCTTAGTAGTCCTAGCATAAAATCAGAGGTAAAATTGTTTATTTAGACTTAATTTGTTTATTTTAATTCGTTTTAATTATTAGTCTGATGTAAATTCTCCTGGTCAACAACAACAAGGAAGTCCTTTGGGAATCACTCAACTTGCTGGTGGCTGTGTTGATGATATTTCTGGGGATGCTGTACCTTCTAATAGAACGGGGCCTTTAGATGATCCAGCTTGGCCTTATGATGCTGATTTAGAGGTAATATTTCTTTGAAAACGTATAAAAAATGAAATTAAAATATTCTTAATTGTTTTAGATTGATGACCTTCCGATCGTTCTAAGAGCCATGGTGGGAATTGGAAATGATCGTAATAGCGGAGCTAGCGTTGCAATCAACGATAGATTATTAAGAAATAGACAGAAAATTCGGCTTCAAGCAAAAACACCTTCTCTTTTACCTTTAGCATCGACGCAACGAAAAGCATTGGGAATAACCGACTTAAATAGAAGAATAACCGATTTAAAAATGGAAGGAGCACCAACTGGACAACAAACGAAAACTCAACTAGCAGATCTTCAGCAAAGATTACAACCACCAGGGAATACGCAAACTCAAATTCGAAGAGATAGTAATTCCACAGTTAGTAGTTATTATGGAAGCATGAGGAGTGCTGATATGAGTCGAAAAAGTAGTTTGGCTTCTCAGGTATGTTATTTTAACTTAATTAATTTTTTGAAAATAATGATTTTCTTTGTAGGCGAGTATGAAGCCGGGTTTTAATGGCCCAAGCTCATTTTACGACCCAATATCAGCTGGAAGTTCAAGAAGATCAAGTCAAATGTCCACAGCAACAACAGGAGGAACAGCATTACCACCACCTCCACCTTCCCATTTATTAGCAGGGCAACTCCAACAATTACAATCACCTCCTTCAACAGCCCCAAGTAATTTAGTATTACAAACTCAAAATACATCCCTCCAACAAACCGCTCTTCAACAATCTTGGGTGAACTTCAATATGAGCACACAAAATTCAACTGCAACTACAACAGGTGGTGATTCAAGAAGGATGTCAGAGCCGTGCCACACAATAACGGATCGCAAAAGTCCTCCACCAAGACCAGCTTCGGTTTCTTTGTCACCTTTGAAAGGTGCAACTAGTTCCGGGGAACTTCATCCTAATCAAGCGGTTGTTCTGGATGAAGTGGGAGAAGGAGAAATGGTTGAGAATAAGTTGGTTATTCCGGATGAAATGATGCATTACTTAAATCAAGTGGCTGATACGCATCAAAGCGATGCTAACACAAATACGCAATGGACTGAATCTAGAAATAATCCTCCAGTACAAAAAACAAATTTACCCCAAACGAATCAAATGGTTCCTTCGCCCCAATCGAATCTCATCAACCAACTCATGCCTTCACCACAATCTAATTTTAATCAATTATTACCTTCGCCACAACCTGTACCGAGCACATCAAGAAATCAAGTAATGGCATCTCCTGGACCTATGATGACTCATCTCCCATCACCAGCAGCGACAATTAATCATTACACACAAATGCAATCACCATCAAGTTACAACAATATTCCTAATCCTTTAATGTCGCCTGGGCAAGGTATGAACCAAATGGTTCCTTCACCAATGAGCACCCAAATGGTTCATTCCCCAGCAAGTACCATGAACCAAATGATCCAATCACCAATGTCCGTACATTGCCAATCACAAGTAATGTCGCCAGGAATGCATTGTGGCAATCAAATGGTTCCTTCACCAGCTCAAACGATACAAAATCAAATGATGTCACCATCGCTTCCAATGCAAAGCCCAAATCCGCATATGATGAGCCAAAATTGTAATAGTATGATTCAAAATCGTCCAATGAGTCAACATAATCCAGGAATGATGGGTACTATGAATAATATGAATAACATGAACAGAAATCCATGTTACACTAATAGAACGAATCACCACAATATGTGTTATTCTCACAATAACAATTTTAACGAACAAAATAGGATTTGTCAACCACAAAATCAAATGGCGCCTCAAATGAACCACAACATGTGTAATAATTACAACAACCCCATTAATAATAGTTATATGGGTTCAACAATGTCGACAGGAACAAGTAGTCAATGCGGAAATCATCATAATAATTATCAAATTTGTAATCAAAATTATATGAACGGTTGTCGTACGAAAATAAATTATAATTGCGGTACAAATTACCAACCAAATCAAAGTCCCAATTATGGGTGCCCACCAACGATAAACGAACAACCTTTAGCATCGCCGACGATGGCTACTCCAGCACCGAACGATATGATAAATCAACCCCAACAAGCTCAAATGACGAGGCCTTGCTCTCATTATAATCAATCTTGTTATCAATATAATTCCCATGGGAATCACCAACAGTGTACAACTTGTACGTGTCAAAAAGCTTATCCACCCAATCAGAAATGCATGCATAATTGTAATGGGGAACAAGAGATACAGTGTAGAGATATAAGTCAATCGCAAATGTCGCCAAGTATTGGAAATCCATCGAATAATCAACAAACAAATAACGTACAACCATTTGGTATGAGACAAGATACCTACCAGCGTACGTTGGAGTATGTACAAAATTGTCAATCTTGGGTTACAAATCCAGATATGGTGAGTAGTAGTACACATCCATTAGGGAAAGGTGAAACGGCAAGTTCTAATATGGTTGTTAATGATATGACGTCGTCACTGAGTTCTTTACTTGAAGAAAATAGGTATTTACAAATGATACAATAAGAAGCAATTCAAGAATGAGCTCAATCCGATGATACTGTAGATATTATAAGAAATAATTTAAAATTTAAATAATAATACGAACGATAATTTTTATATTTCATTTTTTTTATATTTCAATATAATTGAAAAACACTTTTTTAAACCATTTTTTTATAAACATTTTTTATAATATTTTTATCATGAGACTTATATTGTAAATATTTTTATGTGTATGTATGTGTAAAGAGCTATATTGAGATTAACGTTATAGTGTAAATGTACAGCTACGTAATGATAGTTAAAAATTCACATTTTAATTGGAATTCATAAATTTTTATTCAAAAAATTACGTACCTGTAAATTGTTTTTATACCTCAGATTAAAAATCATCAAACACAAATTAATTTAGTTCACGTATTTTTTTTTTTTTTCAAAAATATATATATTCTCGTCTTCTCTTGTAATTATTGTATATTATTGTGATATTGATCGGTTAAAACTTTCTTTTTTGTGTTACTTAACGATTGCAATAAGTATATTAAGCACATGGCTTTAAATAATATTTATATATAAATATTTTTATGTAACGAATAAGAAGTAAGTATATTTATGTAAAACACGAAATTGTAGAGGTTCAGATCTCATATATTAATAATTAACTGCCATGTTTTTCCTTAGAAATAAAATCGTTTAGATTAAGACAGATTAAGAAAGACAATTTTTTTGTACATATTTAGAATTTTAAGATTCTTTTTTGTAACTGCTACGAATTTATTTAAGAAATAAAGATTGCGCTTCCTGTTGAAATAATTAGTTATTTTTTTTGTTGTGCCAAAAGTCAAGGACCCTCAATTTAAAGATCGATATCGAAAGATCGCTGAACATTTCTTCAACATTGTCTACTTTGCGATTTTTTTTCTCAAAAACTATTCGATGAAAGAATTTGAATTTTGTACAGGTGACAGCATGTGGTGTTCTTTTTGAGGGATATATTTTATTTTTACACTATTCCGTATAGTTTCGCTGAAAATAAACCTTGCGACGACAGAAACCAATCCTCCTTAGATGCTAGCGATTTTACCCTTGTTATTCCACCTACTTTACAAAACGATATCTTCGTTGCTTTTAGAGATAGCAAAATAATAAATACACCACTAGAGGGCCTGATCTTTTTTTCATATAAAATCGGACATGAAATGTCCTGTCAATATCATGATGAGCGGAAAAAAAAGAGAACGTCGCTGTGTACTGAATACACCTCAAAATTATCAAAATTAAAGACCGTGTGCAGCCGTTATAGAACCGAATTTAAAAAAAAGCTTTATGAATTTGAAAAGAACACACTTTGAGTTTACTAAATCCGGATTTTATCCGATTAACATCTACTGGCGGCGGCCAAAAAATACACCTAACAAACAACCCCACACATAAAACTGGTAGATTGACTTTTCTAAATACAACAAAGAGTTGTATTTGGTAGAAACAAAAAACTAAAACAGTATCAATCGTATAGGAAATTTTCCGCTCTATGGAGTAGTATATAACTTTAGTAAATCGCATGGTTGCACAAGCATTTTTCCTTCAAAAACTGCAAAAACAGGGTATAATTACATCATGCAAACATTTACGACGTCATACCTTTTTTTATATGATACGGACAAAACTCCGCGATGATATAGAATATATACAAAATTTTCTGCTCTATACAGTGGTATATAACTTTGGTAGATCGCATGGTTGCATGAGCATTTTCCCCTCAAAAACTGCAAAAACAGGATATAATTACATCATGCAAATGTTTACGGCGTCATATCTTTCTTATATGATACGGACAAAAGTCCGCGATGATATGGAATTTGTAGAAAATTTTCCGCTCTATACAGTGCTACATACTTTTAGTAGATCACATGGTTAAGCAAGCATTTTTCCTTCAAAAACTGCGAAAACCGCATATAAATACTGTATGTAAATCTTTACGGCATCATATCTTTTTATATGATACGACCAAAACACCGTGATCATATATAATTGATAGGAAATTTTCTGCTCTATACAGTGGTGTATAACTTTAGTAGATCGCATGGTTCCATAAGCATTTTTTCCCAAAAACTGCAAAAACAGGGTATAATTACATCATGTAAATGTTTACGGCGTCATATCTTTCTTATATGATACGAACAGACCTCCGTGATCCGATACAGTGCATACAAAATTTACTGCTCTATACAGTGCTACACTAACTTGAGTACATCGCATGGTTGCACAAGCATTTTTTTTTCAAGAACTGCGAAAACCGCGTATAAATACCGTATATAAATCTTTACGACATCATATCTTTTTATATGATACGACCAAAACACCGTGATCATATATAATTGATAGGAAATTTTCTGCTCTATACAGTGGTATATCACATTAGTACATCGCATAGTTGCACTTGCATTTTCCCCAAACACTGTAAAAACAGGGTATAATTACCGCATGTAAATGTTTACGGCGTCATATCTTTTTTATATGATATGGCCAAACTCCGTGACTATATACAATGTAAAGAAAATTTTCTGCTCTATACAGTGCTACATAACTTTAGTAGATCACGTGGTTACACAAGCTTTTTTCCTTCAAAAACTGCAAAAGCCGCGTATAAATACTGTATATAAATCTTTACGGTATCATATCTTTCTTATAAGATACGGACAAAACTCCATGATCATATAAACGTTTAGAAAATTTTCTGCTCTATACAGTGCTGTACAGAGTGTTTACGGTCTTGTGATTTTATTTTCAAGGGTTCTTAAAAATCTTAACATATAATACATTTCCTTGAGTTTGTTTATTTTCTCTTTCTTCTCTTGCTTCATATTCTTCCAGTAGCTTAATTCGCAGTACCTCAGGTTTTGGTAGATTGTCTCTGGTTTCAATGGCAACACTTGGCAATAACATGAATATTGTAAGTAGATCTTCGTTAATTTCTAAATTCATCGAATTTTTTAATACAATACTCAGTTCGTTAACAGATTAACAAACCTTTATTATATTTTATATATTGACATTATTAGGCAATGAGAGCGCTTAAAACCGCTGTAACCATAAATTCGGTAATTATCTATCGGTTAAATTTATCAAGGGGTGATAAAGGTGGGCCTAACTCAATCACACTAACAACTGATCACGCTAACTAACTAATGTTATGCAATACAGGTAGCTACGATGTGCTACGATATGCTCTGATTGCGTTCAATTAACTATTTAACTTACAATGCTTGAGAATATCTATTTTTAAAATATATTGGTACTTTCCTACAGAATGATTAGTATTTGTTTAATTCTTTAAAGTATATTTCTTGTTTATTTAATGTGTACTTTTTTAGAACATCAATCAGAAGTTTATGTTAATTTTATAATTCTACAGTTCATTATGTCAATAAATTTTCATTTAATCGTTGAGATTTTATGTTAATGTATTTTAATTGTGTACTTGTGTAATGTATTATTTATTGTACTGTAGTTTATTTATACTAAACCGCTATACTCATGCCTGAAGAATCCATTTCCTAAACTAAATAAATACAATTCAAATAAAAGTTAATAATATGTGCACGTGGATGAGAGAAATGAGGCGGCCTATTTTCTGCACCACTTGCACCCCACGCCCCAACGTCCCTTAAACTAAACTTATTTTTAATATTTCAAGATTTTATGTTTTGAATTCGTGATTTTGACTTCTATAATTTTTGGATTTTATTACTAATTACTTTTTATCTTCTTTTTGTTTTGTTCATTTAAATTCAAATTTATACTGTTTCTAACTGTAACAATAGTTATCTACTTTACCCACAATTCATCTTGTCACTGTGAACTTGAATGTAACCTCTAATATCGAGACTTGATTTACAAATTCAATATTTAACAACAGTTTTCTTTTAATAATATCAAGTTCATTCCAATTAACTAGTTAAGAACCTTTGTTTGCTGATATCCTAATGAGATTATTGTATTTATATCGCCAAAATTTTTAAATATAATTAACTTATTAATCTTCCCACAAGATGGAGCTTTCGGCAGTTTATACATTTTGACCAAGGTTTATAGAACATAAGGTTACCTCATTCCCTATGCCTCTGTAGTATCGATTGTTACCCCGCAAATTGACGTCACTGGTTCGATACAGTCAAAATAAAAGATAGCCTATACGCGCCTATACTGGGGTACAGTCTACATAAAATATTTAAGCCTCGCATCGTGTTGTGTTGTTCCTAGAACCAGCTACGTCACTGACCCACCTTGCCTCTCAGAGGAGGAGAATCGGTATTGGGTAACCTTATGTTCTATAGACCTTGCATTTTGACATAATATGCATAATATACATAACCTCACTTTTTCAAAACACATGTCAATACTCGATTTGTATTGCGGCGATTTCTATTCATTTCGAAGTTGTTTAGTTAATTTCCTTTAAAATGGGCTTAACGAAACAATATCTCCGTTACGTACCAGCTGGAAATTTTAATATAATCGCCAGTCCTAATTGTAACGTTGCTTTTGTCACGTTAGAAGGCCAAGTAGGAAGATTTGTAGCTGTTGGGGCTTGTGAACATGTAATTATATGGGATTTACGATTAGGCGAAAAGGTAAACAAGATTGTTATTTAATTAAAAGTTTCGTAATGTATTCGTTTTAGGCTTTGGTTTTAGTTGGAGAAAAAGCTGCTGTTACTTACTTATGTCCCAGTCCAAATAAAAGAACTTTGGCTGTTGGTTATTCAGATGGAAATATTCAAGTTTACGATTTAAAAAGCGGGGATGTTTTGCATATATTTTCAGGACATAGAACGGAAATTACTTGTTTAGCTTTTGATAATTTTGGAAATAAATTAGCTTCAGGTTCTAAGGTTAATTTATTGATATTGTGAATAACTTTTATAATTAATTGTATTATAAATTTTAGGATACAGATGTAATCGTTTGGGATACAGTAGCTGAAGTAGGAATATGTAGATTAAATGGGCATAAAGGCCCGATCACTCAATTAACATTTATGTCCCAACAACCTGTTTTAATATCAAGTTCTAAAGATACTTACATCAAATTTTGGGATTTAGACACTCAACATTGTTTTAGAACTTTAGTTGGACACAAAACTGAGGTAAAACTAAAGTTATTCATTAACTTTATCATAAAAAATTTAACATTATAGGTATGGACTATATCATTGGTAAAAGACGACAAATATTTAGTCACCGGTTGTGGTGATGCTGAATTAAGAGTTTGGAAAATTTCCCAAAGAGATCCCGATGGTGAAAATAAACTTCCACTTGATCAGTTGGCATTAAACATGGAGATTACATCTTTAGAGGACATAGATGACCCAACTGTAATGTTAAATTAAAAAATAAATCCCATTTAATTATTAAATTTACTTTTAGTATCCATTGCAATGCCATAAAGTTGGTTCCTTATTAAGAAGTGGTAAAGGTCGAGTTGTTTCAATGTTTTGTGATGACTCCCAACAAATATTAGGATGTCATGGAACTGATTCTCAAGTAGAACTCTTCAATTTTTGCTCTGATGATGAAGCTAATGTAAGATTAAAAAAACGACTAAAGAAAGAAAGAAAAAAGCAAAAACAAGAAGAAACCGTTCAAAAAATTGATGAGGAAGAAGTTGAACAAAAAATTGAAGGGGAACTAAGCCTCAAAGACGAAGTTAAACGATTAACACCCATAAAATTATCGAGTAAACCAAAATCGTTTCATTTAGTTTTGGGAAATGGCGGCGAATTACGTTTGGCTGTAACTTTGCATAATAATACAGTTGAAATGCACAATTCTCAGCTGTTAGAAAAAAATGCTGAGCCGAAATGTTTGCGCTCAATTGCCCAACAAGGTCACCATAGTGAAGTTAGAGCTGTTAGTTTTAGCTCTGATAATTTGGGGATTGTTACTGGAGGCGCAGATTCGATTAAATTATGGAACAGGGCATCACAGGCTTGTTTGAGAACCGTCGAAACGGGTTATGTGCTTTCTTTGAGTTTTGTACCCGGAAATCGTCACGTTTTGGTTGGTTTGAAAGATGGAAGGTTGTTAATTATTGATATAGCAGCTGGAGATGTTCTAGAAGAGATTCCTGCTCATAATACGGAGTTGTGGTCAATTTGTCTTCAACCTGATATGGTAAAAAATTATAAGATTAAGCAAATTTATCAAAAATTTTTAAATCTTAATTTTTTTAAATGTTTCTGTACAAAATGAGTTATGAAATTTAATTTATAAGTGTTCTTAATCCAATTCTATTTATATACACAAGAATTCGAAAATATTTAAAAAAATATAAAAGACAGATAGAAAGAAATAGAAAATAAAACAGAAACAAATTTAACTTGATTACAATAAATGATATTCATCTCACTTAAATTGTCAAAAAGGAAACTAATACATTGAAAAACTTTGTTCTATTTCCACTGAAGTTATAGGTGCAGACTTAAACGCTACTGCTTCACTAACAGTCAAATCAAACATGTAGAAATTTCTTTCAAAATAGAAACATCATGATTTTTTTAAATAACCTAAGCCATTTTTTTCTTTACTAAGTTAGCAGCTTCACTGTTTATGCCATTAATTAAGTCCCATCCATCAACCTGCGTAGAAAGCCCACATGTTTCTAATGTTTTTATTGCCAAGGAAACCATAATTTAATGCAATAAAAATCAAGTCTGATTTTATTGTATTGTCATTTAATAGGTCCTTTGCAATTTTGATTGACGCAGCATCCTCTTCGTCTATTGCATCAAACAAATTCCTAATTTTTTCGAAGTTAGTAGTAGTTTGAGTGGCGAGTACTTACCGGTGGAAGAGCAAGGCAAGGCGCTATTACGTTAAAAATTGCTACTCTTGCCAGCGTTTTTAAATAGTACATTTTCACATTGCCAATAAGCCGGTCGACGTTAGTGTACAGGTGGTTCAAATTCGATATCCGCATAGGCTATCTCGGAAACTATAAGAGTTAGAAAAAAAGTAGCTTACATGTCATGATCTGGTTTTTCGAGAAACTGCTAATGCCAAAAACCTCAAAGCGCTATCGTTTTTTGCTTATCCCCTAGAGGCCAAAATTGAAAATATCATAAAACCAGCAAATACAATTATCTTGGTTATTATTATAGGTGGAGTATTATAACTAAAACATTATATGGACACTTTTTTACAGAGAATTTGATGACATAGTCAAAAAAAATTTTTCGGTTTTAGATTTTGAGATATGACAATTTTCGATTTTTTAAATGGAAACAACCACTGATTATTCGCTTATTAAATTCGTTATTTTTTTCTGATTACAAAAATATGGGGTTAGATAGGTCTATTTCTTATTGTTTTAGAATAAAGCTAAAAATAAACTTTTTTAGTGTCGTCAAAAAAATAAAATTTACAGTTTCCTGTAAATTACGGTACTATAACTAAAAATTTATATAAAATTTACTTTATTTTCTAATATGTAACATGTTAAACTTTTCGTAATTTTCGTAATCCATCTTAAAAAACAGGATTTTTAATTTGACACTTCAGAAAATTTTTGAATACAAACAAATGTTGCTAGGTTTATTTGAATTTAAAAAAATATATGAGCGCCATCTATCAATAATTTATTAAGTCATTTAATAATAATATTAAATGTTAATAAAAAATGTGAAATAATGCAATCTATTCCAACTTTTGTGTAAAACAAATATAAATTAAATAGTTCAACAAATGCATTTGTTTGAAATATCAGAAATAGCCTACATCGAATTTGAACCATCCTGTATTTGCTCACAAACTCGATCAAATCCGTGTGCTAGACAACTTAAGTGTCACTTTTGGATAAAACGTTTGTATGGCCTGACCTGCTTTTAGCAGCATCTGATATAAGAAGTAAAATCATGTTTGTGTTGAAAGTCTCATCCAAAAATCTTAATACAATCATCGAAAAGCCTTGCAATAGTGCTATGATTCACTTTATTAAGTACTACTGTATTTAACAAAAATTTTTGTTTAGCGGTCAGCTCATCATGATCTAAAATACTAATAATGACATTTGCCACATATCTTCCTATTGCATCTGTTGTTTCGTCGACTGAAATTCACAAGAAGCGATTGTTGATGCTTTTCTGTATGTGATCTATGGTATTCTTGTAAAGTTCTTTAACATAGTATGTGCGAAAAGTACTTTCCGCTGGTACTTTGTACTCTGTGTATGATTCTAGGAACGATACTAATTTTTTGTTGCGTATTTTATACAGGGTGGTTTAGTTTTTAATCGGGAAACTTTACTAGGATGTAGTACTTGCCAAAATAACACAAGTTTTTTTATATAAACATAGAGTCGCAACTCTTTTGTTTTCGAGAATTGAAAATTAACGCTTATTTTCTGCAAATACACCATACATGCGATACATCATTGGAAAGCTAAAAATATACTCTTTTCAGTAACATCATAATCAAGTATAGTTTGTATTTAAAAAAATACAATTTTGTGTTGTATCTCAAAAATCATCAAGTATGTTTAAAATTTCTCAATGGCAATATATTCTACTTAAAAAAGTGTCTTAAGAACGTATCAACCCCATTTCACTAATTCAAAAAATAAACGAAATATGAGCATTTTTCGAAATCACGAAAATTTGACTTTTTAAACTAAAATTAGAACTAACACTAGAAACTTTCGGGTTTAGCCGTGCGTCTTTTAAGAAAACGTCGCTTCGAACCAGTTTCTGAAGAAGGTTGCAACATGGCATCCGAAACGTCAAACCTTTTCTTAAAAGACGCACGGCAAATCCTGAAAGTTTTGTAGTGTTAGTTCTAGCTTTAGTTCTAATTTTAGTTTAATTCACACCGGCCGTGAAAGCCTTCGTACTTATATTTGACTTTTTGACTATAACTTGAAAACAAAAGAATATAGAGGTTTGGTGTTTGCGGGATTGGATTGGTCTTTTAATGGTTCTCTGCTATCAGCACTATGTCGTCAGCATATAGTAAATTATCTATTTTTACTGGTTCCAAACTTTTATAACCTATTACTGTTTGATATTTATTTGTTCTTGTATTTTTCATCACTCTGTCTATTAATATTATAAATAACAAGGGGCTGAGGCTATCGCCTCGTTTTATTCTCTTGTTAATTTCAAAAAAATTTTGATGTTTCTCCCTTCATTTGTCTTTGCCCTTGAATTTCTTGTACAGGTTTTCAATTATTTTTGTTAGTTTTTGTGGTACCATTTATTACGGTTAACCATGTCAAAAGCTGGTTTTAGCTTCAAGAATATTAGGTATACTTCATTGCCCGTCTCCAATGATATTTCGGATTACATGTATGTTATCGTTTGCTTGGTCTGTATGCGGCTTGTTCATCTTCTAGTTTATTTTTCACTACTCTTCTTAACCTTTTTTCTATTATTTTTGTGTATAATTTGTAACTAATAGATGATAGGCATATATGATAGGCTCTATAATTTTACCGGCAAGACGATAGCAACAAGTTTTTACAAACAACAAACTTTACCTTTATATTACCACCTACTTCTAGGGCCCATATCTTCGTTATCTAGAAACATAGCGAAAAACTAAGCACACGGTTTCGCACCGAGTTTCGCCGATATGTTGATAATGAGAGCAAAAAAAATAAGAAACCTCGCGCTACCATTAATTTTTGCCGCGGCTAAACCACGCTTGGGTCAATAACTCTCTTATATGACCGAGAGAAAACTCTAGAACTATATTCATCTTATGGGAAATTTTCTGCTCTTTCCAACGGTGTGCGACGCACTTCGCTTACGCGTTTGCATACGTTATGCTGGGCTGAAAAACGATTGTGCAAACCTGTGATTGAGATGTGTTATATACCGTTGAAAGAGTAGAAAATTTCCCATAAGCTGAATATAGTTGTAGAGTTTTCTCCCTGTCAAATAGGAAAGTTATTAGTGCAAGAAATATTTGCGTGTTTTCATCAGTAGGGGCTTTTTCAGGTGCGTCTTTCTTACAGACGCTGATAGATATTGGCGGACGAAAACTCGGAATAAGATAGTCCCTTTATAACTATAGAGCCAACTGTAGGCTCCTTTTCAGGAGCGTTCTTTTTACAGACGCCGCCAGATATTGACGGACGAAAACTCGGAATAAGATAGTCCAAGGTTAGCTCTTTCCAAATATGTAAACCATTTATTGAATTTCTATCGGAGTTTGATAATTTTGAGGTACATTGAATGTAGCGCGATGTTTCTTTTTTTTTTGCTCTTATTATAAACATATCGGTTTAAGATAGAGAAAAGACCAAGCTTTCCAAGCGTGTGCTTAGTTTTTCGCTATTTTTTTAGATAACGAAGATATGGGCCCTAGAAGTAAGTGGAAATATAAAGGAAAAAGTTTGTTGCTGGGCGGTTTGTTGCTTTCGTCTCGCCGGTTATAATTTTTACAGTCCGAGTTTTATCTTCGCTAAGCTTCCTTTTTTATGTACTGACAAGATGATATTATTTTCCCAATCTTTCGGGATTGTTTCCGACTGCCATGTGGTTCTATACATACTTACCTTTTATTCCCAAATATTTTATAATCTACGGATCTATCTTGTCTGTGCCGCAAACCTTGTTTGTTTTCATCTTCATCATTGCCTCTCGTAATTCTTCCATTTTTATTGTTTGTGTCCGTTTTCCATCCTTGAACTTTTCTGCATAAATCCAGAATCCATCTTATATCCAGAATTTCCCTTCTAGTTGTCTTTATCTCGTTGTTTTTATCTTTGACGGCTTTTATTTATTTCCTTTGATTTCCTTTCGGTTTTCTTATTTGATTCTAGAATTTCTTGCTATTCGATCCGTATGTTCCGAACTCTTCCCAACTTTTCTTTTTCGTCTCCATTATCATATTCTTAGCATCTCTGTTCGTTCTATAGTTTGCTTTATCCTCTTCCGAATTCCTTCTTATGTATTTCTTCCATGACTCTTTCTTCTTCTTGATTGTCTGTCATTTAGGTTGGATATAATAAAAATTAAGGTTTCTAGAATAGTATTTAAGCTAATATCATATAAATCATCAATTATCAACCCTGGAAATCGAAGGAATTGACTAGTTTCCTCATTCTCTATCACACGGTATTCAATTTCAAGATATGCAGACCTATATTGTGAAAATATGTGACCAAATATTTTGTTTTTAAGATTGATAACAAATTCAATTTCATCCTTAAGTCAAGCTATTGTTTGTTTCATAAATGTTTTGATAGAATTTGAGATATAAATGGTTCAAAACATTTCAGGTTGACAACTATTTAGCAACACACTCTTCTTAGGCCCACTTTTACCACCTCCTGTTAAATTTATCCGATAGATAAATCCAGTTCTTAGGCTCGTTACTACCATCTTCTGGTTAAGCTATCTAAGAGATTATTACCACGGTTACGGCTATTTTACGCGCTCTGATTGGCTAGTAGATGGGTTTATCTATAAGATAAATTTATCTAAAAGATGGTAGTAATGGACCTTAGCCAATGAGAGCGCTTAAAACCGCCGTAACCATGGCAACTATCTTCTAGATAGTTTATCAGGAGGATGGTAAAAGTGGGGGTTAAAGTGTTAAACTGGTAGTTAACAGCAACATCAGAAGTATTATCTTTTATAATAAAATTATTGTTTTATTCCTTTAAAGTAAAAACTAAAAAATACTAAATGTATTTTTAATAACATTTCAACTACATTATTTTTTATAGAGAGGATGTGTAACTGGAGGTGGTGATAACAC